GTTTGAAGAGCATCTAGAAAAGACGCAACACCATCGATATTATGCTTGCAATATTATCGTAATTGATGGAGAGCGGGAGTTGTTTCTTAAACTAAGACATCATTTTTATTTTTTATTTGGATCAAAGCTAACAAATTTCAACATCTTTCATTTGATGAATAAAAGCAAAAGTCCACATAAGTGATATGATGTTTTTTTTTAATTTGAATAATTTTCAAAGATTCTTTAAATGTTTGTTTTCGCTTCTTCATCAACCCGTCAAAGTAAATTCAAGTTACTCAAGAATCATAAAATTGAGGCCACACTCTACGCTACTTACCTACCTGAGATACACTGGTTAATGTAATTCTAGTGATTGAATTTCATTAAATTTTTAAGTTTTTATATTAAGTAAGCTGTATTCCAGTCCCAACTCTTATACTGAGCAACACATACATATATTATCTAAGCTTTCAAATGCATACTCAAACATAAAACACGAATATCTAATGTAGAAAATAAAAAATAACGCTTTTTTGCTCTGACAAGCTCCACAGACTTTTGAGAAAGGAACGGTAGAAAACACACAAAATTAACAGCTATATAGTCAATCTGTCAATAGTTACTTTGTTGGCAACATTTTGAAATTCTTTGGCGACAATCTCTACTTTATGGGACTGTTTATAGCTTAAGTTTATACGCTATTATGTGTTTGAAAATTGACATTTTCAATATAAACGTAAATAATAAATATGTTATTTCATTTTATTTACTGCATTTTTAACTCATATTGTATATACATTTTAGCTTTCTACGCTCTTTTTCTGTATAAATTTCAACTATACCAAATCTCACACTCCTCCGTGCGCACAATATTTTAAAAAAGGGATATAAAGTTTTCCGTTCACATTTTAATACATAAATGTACATTTTTATGAATTCACGATTAAGCTACGTTGCTGAATTTAACGTCCACACCAATTTAAAGGAAGTGAAGAAGACATATAAAATTTTATGTTAAGCCTAAGACCTACTTAATTTTATATGTTCATCTTCTTCATCAGCCAGTAAAAACCCAAACCTGGGGTGTCCCTCATCGTAGCGAAAAGTTTGTCTTAAACATAACGCTTGACATTTTAGCGATCGCCGTACCAGACGTTTTGCACCTTCGACGCTACTTGACGTCAGACTGAATAATTTACACCTGCAAACAAGATGTTCATACTGTCATTTATCCGAAGGTTAAATGCATAAAGTGCGGGGGACCAACAATAGCATCCTGAAAATCATCGCGAGCAGTCTACTGCTTTTACACATGCCACTGTTGCGCCATATCGGTTGGAATAGTGAAAAAGGGGAGTGTATATATAGTTCTTTTTTTCATTATAATCGCACTAGTTAATATTACGCTCTAATTACTTAGTTAATTATAATACCAACAAAATATGAGCCTTAGTTACTTGATTAAATTAATTAATCTTCTCTTCTATAATATTTTCGATATATCCTATGATCGCCTCTAAAGACACCCACGGGACGAAATGGGGAGATAGAATCTCTGATGACGCCATAACACTGCTAATAAAAACGAAAAAACGCTGTGTGGAGAGTTTATGACACCATACAAAAGAAAGCAGCAACAAGTGCGAGATGATGGCGATAACAAATCCGTTTATTAAGTAACCAACTTAAGTAATTTTGCGAGATTTTTTTTATAATAGTAAAAACCGAATTTGACGAACTAAAGATAATAAAATAATTACTATACATAATAGCTCTTGAATTCGGTGCCTAGACATAGTGTATAGAAAAATTAATTAATAAGTTAAAGTTAAGAAAAGTTAAAGCCTATACTTAAGCTAACATAGTAAGTTTTCACTTTTTATCCGACTTCAGTGAAGTTCTTAACTAGTTCGTCTCATTTTGTATGTAGTTTTTAGGGTTTCGTACACAAAGGATACTCAATAGGACACTAATACTAAGCCTCTATTCTCCGTCCGTCCGTCCGTCCATCCGTACGTCTGTCTATCAGCGGGATGTACCTCATGATCCGTAATAGATCTATACAGCAAAAAAAGAAGCAAAAAAAAAAAACAATTGAAAATTTCACAGAATGTGTTATTCTGTTGCAGCTATAATAAAAACTAATAAAAATAAACTAAAAACTTGAAGGAGGCTACCCTACTAGAAACGTGTTTTTCGATATTACAGAACCCTTCATGCGTGAGCCCGACTCGCACTTGGCCGATTATTTAATGTACTCGAATGCTACGCGATATCTTCGTTAATTACGAAAAGATTTCATTGATTTGTTTATTAAATATTTCATACTTGAGGGTAAGGCCTCGATAAATTTGAAGAAAAATTGTTATACCTAAGAGTGGGAGAATAGAAGATGAAGTTTTTAATGCAACTATTCAGGCAACATTTTAGTTGTTACCTTGAGCTTGTAATATTTCTTTGTCCATTTTTTCTTAATTTTTAATTAAAACTGAAAGACAATTTTAGAGAAATAAAAATAACAATATAATTTCCATATAACAGCTTCAGAATTGAGGGCTTTAATTATTCTATGCTTCGTGTCTCAGCACCGATTTCTGAAGCTGTTATGGAAAAATTATTTTATTGTTTTAGTTCTTAGAACTCGAAAATTATCGACTGTCTATTTTTATCAAAGTTTAAATTATGGCTATTTGAGCGGACCATAGAATATAATAAACTAAAAATAACAATTCAGTGTAGTATTTATAGTTACACTAGCTTCTGCCCGCGACTTCGTACGTTATGTTACTGTTGCTTATGCCAGCGACAACGGGGTCGTCAAAATCGAATTCAAAGAGCCCGGGGACGGGAAAACAAAGTGATGCGCGAGACGATTCGAGACGTTCCAGATCTTTCATTTTTGTAAGTCAACAGGAAATGCCCATCAGACTAAACAACTTTTGCTAAGACGTCATTCCTATATATGTTATAATGTAGCTGGGCTTTGGAGTTCCACAACAGGTGCTCCAGATCTTCAAATTTATTCTCACAGCAGAAAACACTCTTCACGTGGAATATTTTTTGCTATGGCACCATTTTTATATCTCTTATACTTTAGCTGGTCTGTTGCGGTTCTGCATCAGGTGTTCCATTTTCCAAAATAAATTATAGCCTATATGTTGCCTAGACTTAACACCTATACAACAAAAAACTTTTCATCCCGTATATTTCACCGATCCGGTGCGGAATGCACTACAAAAAAATTCTTTATAAACTATAGCTGTACACGTGCCTTTGCCCACGTATCGCATAAGTATTTTTTATTCTATTTTTATTTTAATAATAGTTAGTGATAGTTTGTTGATTTACAGAAACACTCAAAAGACGCATCCTATACTTATACTAAAGCTTAGATACCTACCTCAAAAACTATTTAGTTCAGTAAACTCAAAATTTGAAAGTTATGTAGTTAATTTACTGGTAAAAGACGTCAGGTTGATAAGAAAATTTTGGTGACGTCGAATAACAGAAGTGTTATAAATTATAATTTACTGTAACACTTCTGTGTTAACAAAGTTCGTTGCTTTTCCCTCGGTCTCATTCAAAATGTCAATCTCAGTCAGGACTGGTGACGCGGGAGCAAGCGACGTACAGTTGTCCGTGTGAGAAGCAGCTCGTCCTGAGGTCGACACCCGCAGCCTTGAGTGTCTGCCCCTGCGACTTATTTATTGTCATGGCGAAGCACACGCTCATAGAAAACTGCACGCGCTTGAATTGAAAGAGGTAATTGTGGGGAATCAGTGGTATACGTGGTATAAACACTGTTTCGCCGACACCACAACCCATTAGAATATCCGCCTCAATGATATTTCTCTGCAGCGGACGAATTTGAGCCGGGTCCCATTGCACAGTTTTGGTGGAGTGAGATTTCGAAGAAGCATAATTGAGACACCGACCTTTAGCTTAATGGTGTGCGCTGGCAGTCCACTTGCACTGAGGGAATTGAGAAATTCTACGGGGTAATGTGTGGCGTCATATTGGTCGACCACAGTGTTTATTGAAGTGTAGATCACTTCATTTCCCTCAATTTCCGCGAGAATGCATTCATTGATCGCTGAAGCTTGGTCATTTTTGGGTGTTAAAATGGCTTGTTCACACACCCAAGTCTACCTTGATGTACACCAGGCGAATCAAATCTTCTAAGTTGGATACCACTCTCCCAAGTATCTCAGGTAGAATCAAATGGCCACTGTCTACTGGTAGCGTTCCCTCACCCAATTTTAAGAGAACGTCAGAAAATTCTTGGGCGTGTACATTCCCGCCAAGCTGTGCTCTCATATTCATAAATTCTTGGGCGTGTACATTCCGCCAAGCTGTGCTCTCATATTCATCGTTAAGCGCAACCTATGAATATGTGGCCATAAGAAAGAGCATTTCCACGAAGCATTCACCTCATGAGCCCTAGTGCCTCGCGTCACCACAGGCAGCGTTTGCCGGAAATCGCCGCTAAACAGAACTGTAACGCGACCCATCATTTGCTGGTTCCTGCGGATGTCCTGCAAAGTCCTGTTTACCGCTTCTACTGCTTTTCTATTCGCCATAGTGCAATCATCCCATACGATTAAAGAGCAATCTTTAAGCACGTGCCCTTTGTCACTGTTGCGTGACACTCCACAAACAGGTGTTTCATTGCTCTCTAAATCTATAGGAATCTTAAACATTGCGTGCGTAGTTTTGCCACCAGGAAGCAGTGTTGCGGCGATTCCCGACGATGCTACTGCAGTAGCAATCTTGCTTTGCCTCCTGACCTCTGCGAGAATGCCAGCGGTGACAAATGTTTTCCCTGTTCCACCAGGAGCATCCAAGAAAAACATTTTACCTTGGCCGAGTCCAACGCTTTCAAGAATGGTGTCGAAAATTTGCTTTTGCTCTGCGGTAAACTTACAGACATGGTCATTGACGACGGTACTTATAGCTCTTAGATCATAATTTATTTCAGAGTTGTACTCTCTGTTTCCACGCTCTTGTACATCCAGATGTTATGGAGTCGGTAGCCCATAATCCACCAGAAAACTGCCGCCGATCGAAATGACCATGTCTTGAAGTGAACTAAGGCAACTGTTTAGAACGCGCTCATCAGTTGACTCAGTATTATCTCCAGTCGTGCATCTCGGAGCTCTTAGGAAGTCTTCGGACAGAAGATGTCGATATTTCTCCCACAACAGAAGTGGATTTGCAAAACCGCAGAACACAAACATGACGGCAAACAGATGTCGCAAACGACTGGGACTGTCACTAATGCTGGCCTCTTTAAGTGCGTTGTCCCAGTGCTGATCACCGTCGAGAAGGTGGCGTGCTACGCAAGCAGCGCGGTATGTGGGATACTGAATGTCATCAACTGTCCTCAGAAACGCAAATGATGTTGGGCCCCGCACTATGTGCAGTAACATTCGCAAATAATGGCACTCGCCATTATTTGGGAATGTTACTGCACACAGTGTAAACCCGTCCCAATGCGGTGTCCCTAAAAATTCCCGGAAACCCGTTCACGGCGTGTCCGCATTTACGTCGATTAAATTCACCTCCTTGCTTGTCGTACGTGTAGTACAACGGCACCTCATCATAGGTGAGTAATCTAGCAAAGTTGTCCCCTTTACAGAGTCTGAAAAAGGCCAACAGAGTGGTTTGGCGCGGATTTTCCAATCTCGCTGCAACGTTATCAGGATCAAAATAAATGCGCTGGCTATTCTCTAAATGGACATCTAAATTCATGACTGTTGGATACCTGTCGTGTATGGAGAAGGCCAGTATCCACCAAACCGCCTCAGAAGTGCTGATGTAGCGACCAGATTGGTACTTGGTCACTTCACCCCTGTTAGTACTCTGTAAAGCGAACGTTGCCAGGTTCATTTACAGATGCATATTTAATCGACTGTACGCTTGTGTACGACTCGACATTAATGTGGGTACTGAACGTCCTGGAAAGTACAGGTGAGTATGGAACTATCAACCTGTTGTCGATCTCGACTGCCTGGCCACGCATAGTTAACTCGGCACGACTGCCATCCTCAGCAGGAGATCTACGCCAGTATGAAGGGTATCCATCCTCACCTGTAAGAGTTTCGCTGCTAAATCGCTTCGGAAACCTTTTTGAGCACCATCCGTCCCTCATGCAAGGAGAATTGCGATTTAGGGCTCCGCAAGGACCATGCACCATGTGACCCTTTACAATTTGGTACAGAACGGGGTCAACGTTGGGATCTGGCAGCTCAGCACTTACGACATCATCGATTGTTGGGCCTGATTTTATCTTTCAACAACAAAAGCAAATATGGCAATACATGTGGCATCTGGTAGCACCAAATAGTTTTTCTTTTGTGAGAAGATCCATCAGGCACTTTAATTTTAAATGAAACACCCGAGAAATCAAGTCGTGCCTGTCATGTGGCACCTGCCCTGCTAAGAGCTTGCTGGTTATTTCGGACCACTTAGGGTTGGTAGTGATGGTGATGAAGAGGTCTGGTCGACTGTACTTGCGCACGTAACAGAATGCTTCCTGTGTCCGCTCATGCATGTACCGCGGACCTCCCGTAAAGGTGGAAGCGAGTATCACCATCCGTCCAACATTTTCCGCGTTAGAGTCCTCTCGCATGGCGTCCCTTAGGTGCACGTAGTTTCCCGCCCTTAGTTTCCGTTGATTCGTTCTAATGAACACCAACCGCTCCGTTTCAATTTTGGCATACTCATCTACCAGAAATTGACTAAAGAGTGCACGGTAATAATGGAGATGAGAGTTGTCGTTGGAACGGAGCTGAATCATGTAACTGTAAAACTGGAGGGCGGAAGTCTTTTTGTTATGATTTGGGGCACCTGTCTGCGGGTCTACATTGTATACGGCAAAGTGATAGCCATCCTCTCCGTGACAAAACGTTAGGGGATACTGTAGGGTATCATAAGCGCGATGTGTCTCGCTGATACGCTGTAGGCGATCATCACGTGTGCGTAAAACAATGTCTCTTTTGTCGTATTCCTGGTCAACCAAGAGGATGGCTACCTCGTTTAAAGTTGGTGGGTTATATCGTCCTAGATGGGCTGCGGTCGGTCTTTTGTCAGCGCTAATAACGAATTTAAAATTATCGCGCTCGTGTTCAAGCACCGATTCCAGAGCGGTTTTTAAATCGGTAATGTATGGGTTGACACTATGCAGAGTGTTTTGTAATCCCCTTATGGCTGGACTTGGGATGCTCACTATTAAAAAGTAGCTCTTGCATAGAGTTTAGTCGTACCTTTCCAGACGCCCAACACATTCCCTTAGTTTCTTCCTTCCACTTACGCGCGTGACAGTGTGCACAAACCTCAGATGTGGTGCCAATATCTCCGTGTTCGATGTAATTAATAAATGGGTTATAGGAAAACGCGCTCCATTCTTTATTGAACCACGGTTGTTCTTCAGGATCATAAACCATAGACTCAATATCAGATGAGGATGAATTGCAAAGATTGCGATGTATACGGTCTAGATCAATTTGGTCCACACGCTGTTCGGCTGACTGGCTTGCCCGAATTTCCTGAATCCGCTCACGTTCTTGCGTGGAATGAAGAGACACTTCAACACGCATGTCGTGATATCTTTGCCGAGCAAGCTCGTTGCGCTGCTCGCGCTGCTCGTCTGTCTCCAAAGACCGAGCTAGAGCATGCTGTGAGCGGTCTGCACTAAGTCGCGTCTCACGTTCTTCGGGATTCCCAAGTGATTCCCAAGTGAGTGAAAGAGTCTCCAAAGCGCGAGATACTGCGTGGCGCTCGTGATCACTTCCTTGGCGTGTATCGCGCTCCTGACTTCTCTCTAACTCAACGCCAACAACATCTAGTCAGAAAACGGAAACTACATATTATTTACACAAACGAATTAATTAAATCGTGAATTAAAACTAGATTGACGTTAATTTAACAGACAAGTACATTATTTTTGCATAAAAAATATGGTGATAGCAGGAAGGAATAAAACTAAGAATTACATACTTAAATAAATTACCTACAATAAATGTGCTTGGTAGGCAAAGACATTTAAATAGGTAGTAGTAATAGACCCCACATCGGTAACAAAATTGTCACATGTAACTTTTGTCCTATAGGATATATCTCCGATTTTCGTCATTTAGTGATATCGTCAAAAGGTCAAGATGCATTCATTTCATAAATTTAAAAATATTTTTAAAGAAAATATGCCTGGTTGCGTATTAAAGTATTATAAATCACGATATGGAGCAAAAATGAACGTGATTTCGGTTTATTATCAAAAGAATAATGTGGATTTACCAAATAATCTTTAAATGTTATTATTTCCAGTATATTGTTCGAGAAGAAAAAAATTATTGTAATAAATGCCCTCTGTTATCCAGTAACGTCACTATTTATTTACAAATATGTTAGTGATTAACGATGTGCCTACATCGGATTTTAACCTTATGTTTAGTAGTGTCACCTACTGGGAAATAGCTAAAATGTTTTCTAAATAAATATTCAGTGTAGTATTGCTATATTTCGCTAGATGGTGTAATACATGCGCGTGGTCACAGCTTTTGTATGAAAATGTTCTATTTTTAAAGAAAATATGCCTGGTTGTGCATTAAAGTATTGTAAATCACGATATGGAGCAAAAAATGAACGTGATTTCGGTTTATTATCATAAGAATAATGTGTATTCACCAAATAATCTTTAAATGTTATCATATATATATATATATATATATATATATATATATATAAACAGACAAAAATTGTAAAATGTCACTTTTTATCATCAGTTTTCTAACAAAAGCCACTAATATTTATCGAAAATTCTTAATGTACAATTTTTCTTTCGTTTTACTCATATGTATAGAATAGAGGAATAATGTGTATTTACCAAATAATCTTTAAATGTTATTATTTCTAGTATATTGTTCGAAAAGAAAGAAAAATTATTGTAATAAGTGCGCTCTGTTATCCAGTAACGTCACTATTTATTTACAAATATGTTAGTGATTAACGATGTGCCTACATCGGATTTTAACCTTATGTTTAGCAGTCTTACCTACTGGGAAATAGCTAAAATGTTTTCTAAATAAATATTCAGTGTAGTATTGCTATATTTCGCTAGAGGATGTAATATAAATCTTAGATTTCCTAATGCACATAAAAATGCAAAAATTAAAAAAAGATTACGATTTTTCAAAACAATATTATGGGATTTAAATTCGCACCACTTAATGTGGTAAACGGTCGCCTGACCTTACCGCTAAATTTCCCGTTGACATATTGTTAAACAGCTGTTCCCTTGTAATTTATAATATTACTGCCTTTATAAAAATTACGCCCTCCTTTCTTCCAAGGAGGGTCGCGTCAGTTTACGGCTTAAAGATCTCTAGACAGGTCGATAAGCCAATCCCTTAAGGCAGTGTTTAATGGGTAAAAGTCTCCACTTAACCACGCAGCCGGCTGTGTGGTATGCTATGAGCATTCACTGCCTCCCTCCCCCGCTTTCCGGAGAGGAAAAATTACAAAAATAGATGATTATTATGTTCCCAGAGTTAAATTTTTATATTTATTTTGACTAATTAATAACATGTCATTTTATGCATTCAATTATTTCGTGCATTCAATTACGAAGAAAAACTTTTTAAAATAAATATTGCTTACCTCCTATAACATATGGCGAGATAATATGTAGCCTTACTTGGTAAGCAAAGAACATTTTTGCTTAATTTCAATTCAATCTATCCAGTAGTTTTGGCGTGAAACGGTACCATATACACAGACAAACAGACAAAATTGTAAAAAGTCACTTTTCATCATCAGTTACGTTTTTCTAACAAAAGTCACTTATTTTTTCTCGAAAATTCTCAATGTACAGTTTTTCTTACGTTACTGTTTTATTATATGTATAGATGGTTAATTTCATTTTTTTTAGATTAGGATGACAAACGAGCATCCAGCCCACGTGATGATAAGTGGTTTTTGTGGCACATAGACATCTACATCTACATCTACGAAAAACAGCAGCATTAAACTATTATTTGACGCTGGTTTTCTGTGAGAGCGTGGTCCTTCCCCGGTCGAGCCGACCGATTCGTGCTACAACTATACTACTAATACAACTGCACCATGGCTCTACCACGTAAGAAAAATCATCTCGTAGTCTGACACTATTGGGGATGTAATGACTCTTTAAATTTTTGTGGGATCCATTTCTGAAGAATAACATATTTAAATAATAAATAATCACTAAAATCAATTCACAATGAGCGCTTCCACGACCTTTTCTCCCACTAGGGTAGAGACATTTAGGAATGAGCTGAAATATTTTACAAATTCCATAGCGGGGAAGTTAATTTGTTCGAAAAATGTAAGGGGTAATGTTTTTTTACTGAAATATTATTCATATTTTATTTTAATTAGATTATAAATTGATAGACCAAACTACGGACATTCCTAAAAAAAATTATTAAAAAGTATAAAAAATAAGCCAACCACTGAAGCATTTTTTGTGTATAAATACAATTTCTCTATTTTTTTATACATTGTAAAACATATAAAGAAGTGTCCGCCGCACTACCCAATGCGTGTTAGCGGACTTCACATGTCTTTGTAATATTTTGTTAATTTCTCAGATATGTTGGCTGCCACACGATATAGTTCTTACCCTCCGAACACATGGTATATCAGCAAATTAATTGTATTTAAAAATTTCATTATTACCGTCGGGCATCGAACCCAAGTTGTTCGAGTACAGTTGTTGTTTACAGACAGTCTCTGAGCTACGAAGGCAAGGTAAAAAATAAACAGTTTCATTATAAACTTTTGTAAAATGATATTTTAAAAATTAAATAAAACAATATTTGACTTCATTGTTAGAAGCGGTCGCTTAGACTTATCACACCTAATCTTCCCTCTATCCCATAAACTCTTCACCGCTGCATTGAAAGACGTTTTCAAGCTAATGGACGGAAAATATTACGTTATTAAGGTGATACCTCGAAAATTTGGTGGTTTTTTCTATTTATCATATTTTTTTAAGTTTTATAGATTACGAACCAAAATTTTGGTATATGATTTTTGACTATATGACCCTGGATTGCATAAAAGGAAAATATGATATGATATGTAATTTTCTCGATAGAAAAAAATTGCAAAGTTGGCTCTAATTATTTACATTTCTCGATGACACCACAATATTCTTACTAATATCATGGAATTATTTTTAAGGCATAGTAAATAATCATAACTAAGTTCTCATAAACCAGTTTTTAATCCATAACGAAGTTTTGTTAAAGTAAATAAAAATGTTGTTTGGCGCTTACTTAGTTTTACTTATGGCTATCTCAAAGTTTGCGTACCAAGAAGTCATTGCGTCACTTTCATTTTGACACTCCCGCAGTCATCCGTTAGCTTCACCGACAAAGGAATAAGCCACGCCCCCAAAACTTCGATTAATTTTCAAGGTATCCTCTTAACATCAATGGTGGGTACATCATTCTCCTTCGATTTGCCTAATCGGTGCCTTGTGGCAGAATCTCTGGACTATTGATGGCTATCCGAGTACAGACTGAGATAGGCATCGTATTTTGTACTGTACTATGCAAACACTTCAGCACTTCGATATTCAGCACTACTAACAGTTAACTTGGCACCGCTAAAGGTTCTGAAGTATAGCCAAAATTTGTGGTACATTGTACTCTTAGGTCTTATATACAATTTGCCGAAGGGTATGTATGTGGTCTCTGTTACTAAGGCCTTTTCGGAAACCTGCTTGTTCGGGAGGCTGGAAGTCGTCAAGTCTACGTACTGTAATAACATTAGCAAAAAAATAACAACATTTTATTAATGAATATTTTAAATTTTATAGTTATTTAAGATACATGTTTTTTTTTCATCTGGCAATAAAGATATTAAACTTTAATTCGCAACCGTCCGCTTTAATTATATACAATGATGTGTCTTACCTGGATTGAAGAGAATCAATTGCATGCACTAATTCCGTCACCACTAGTCCCAGCACCACTACTCCCAACACCACTACTTCAAACACCACTATTCCAGGAAAGACACACCATCAACGATAATACGACACGTGTTTCCCCTCTACACGAGGCATCCTGAGAGGCATCCTCCTGAGATGTAGACTCTACGGCGGCTGACCGCTAAGTCAGGTAGTAAGTTTAGGTATGACACATCATTGCATATAATTAAAGCGGATGGTTGCGAATTAAAGTTTTAATATCTTTATTATAATAAATTTTCGCAAAGTAAAGCCTGATTCTATTAATTATTTTAATCTGGCAACACCGTTGTCAGCGACAGTAAGTATCTTTAAACGTGTGGCAGTATTCTTACATAACGGTCATCCGCACAGCATGTTTTGCTATAAAGGTTTACAAATTTAACTGATTTATTTTTAATTTTTGCAATGATATTTTTTATTTTTTAGCTAAAAAGGGTTACATAATAAGAATCCTCCATTAGTACCTGCGTGGTTATCCATAATTTATCGGGCATCCTGTATATTGTAAACTCTCCAAGCTGTCACCCAGAGCCATTATTCAGACACACCCTTTTGTGTTCGTTCGTCGATTAAGTGTAAACTCAATTTGGCCCATCTGAATTATATCGCTAATTTAGTCGAAAAACTTCGATTTAGGATATTTCTCGATGACTCTGCCAGACACTTTTATTTTTTTTAATCATTTAAAAGAAATTACGGCAGGTAATACAATGCATGATCCTTTGAAACTATATTTTAAAGAAAAAGGGAAAATGAATTTTTCATACAACTGAGGATGAAGAACAGGCCCTTGAGTGAGTGATGTGATTCTAGTACACCTATATCCTCGATTTATAATCAAAATGCAGACCCAATGCCGGAGAACTGAGAAAAGTGGAATGTTTTTTATAAGTTAAAATGAACATGAAAAGTTATAATAATATAAAGTTAAAACTTTTAATATAAAAAGTAAACGCCGCTTTTGAAAAACATTTTCACAGCCATATTGACCTCTCCCTTCTTAAAATCGGCCGAGAAGGACTTTCGTTATTTCGCATTTATCGCTAGTAATAATGGTAATATAGAGAGCGTGATGCTGTCCTGGTTGTTACAATACAGTATATGACTTAGCGGCCGTAATTCTGATGATATATTGCAAACTACTACTACGCAAAAAGGAAACCACCTCATAATTTTAAAAGATCTTTTCTAATGGTACCCACTCAATTGAAAAATGAAAAAAAATTACAAACTAAAGCATACTTTTTTTAACTATTTTACGCCAGTGCTTGTTTACTTTTGGTGAGTGTAGAGAACCAGAGAACCTTTTTACTGGAAACGAGGCATTCCACCTAAGTCCTCACGGATGACAACACATCTGCATTTTGATTCGTAATCGAGGATAGATGTAGATGTCTATGGACCACAGCAACCACTTACCATCAGGTGGACTGTGTACTCGTTAGTCACCCTACCCTATAAAAAAACCATCCCACTTGGTGGTAGTTGGTGATGCGTCGGAAGATGGTAAAGCGCACTGACTTACGAGTAGCCTATCAGGCTATTCACACTTGCTTTGAAGACCCGTATTGTAATTGGATGGATATACAGATACTGTAAAATCATTTCACTTCTTTGCTGTACGTATTATGGACAAAAAAAATCATTTTATGGATCTGTTTGTGGACCAGGATAGCGGCAGAGAGATTCTCATGAAAAAGGATGGAGGAGGCCTTCACCCGGAAATGGGTATCCCATTAAAACTTATAATTAATATAATAAATTATGTTACTATTTTATGTTTATAGCCAAATTCAATTGATTACTATTATTAACTTACATTTTATTATTTTTAATTATATATTATGTGACAAAAATGAAAACAAGCTGACAATTACTTAAATATAAATGATTATTTACTCAAACATTATATATAAATATTCAAAAATTAATATTGTAATTTTGAACTTTACAAAATAACTTTTTATTTAAAGTACATATAGTTTGAACTTTTGATTTATAGACAATGGCATTGATAATGACGTCAGAAACGTTAGTACAGAAACCGAAAATTGCATGAATTATAATAATATTGTAATAGATATAACTAATATTGACTATTATATGAAAATTGGGAATTAAATGGCTATTATTATTATTATTATGGGGTATTCATATACTGTTCTCATCTGGTTGGGCTGAATAAATATATAAAAGGAAACGAGAAATATACATAAATATATATTTAATATACTAACATAAATAAATAAATAATACATAAATAAATAAAAGCCCAACCACTTGGAAGCTCTCAAAAGGGGAGAGCTCCCAAACGGCCAAGAGTTAGGGGGAAAGGGAAAGAAATCGGCGGACGATGCGGGCGGTATCGAGGAGCACCGCCTTCTGCATTTGAGCCCGGAGCGGTCCGTCACGGAGTCCCAGCCGCCTCAGATGACCCTAGAGGCTGACTGCGATTAACCCATTTGCAGAAATGACTACAGGTATAATTTCGGTCGACAACCCACCCGCATGTCGGTTACCTCGTGAGCCAGGTCCAGATATTTTGTTCGCTTATCTGTTTCGGCTTTCACGAGGTTCCCTTTATACGGAATGCTAATGTCTACTTGTTCAAAAATGGCGTAGACTTTATCCGTATGCAGCTCGCTATGGTTGCCCTGACCATAGCGAGCATCTTTGACATCAAAATTCTCGGACTGAAAACGCATGAACCAATTTTGTGCTACTCTTACTGACATTGTATTAGGTTCATAAACGTCACAAACTTATTCCGTGGCTTTTTCCTTTTCTTGTATTAAAACTTCAGAATGTATTGAATTTCTTCGTTTGATTCACTCATTTTGGCAGACAAAAAACAATTGAAAAATGGAGGGAAAGTGTTTTTTACTTTTTATTTTTCTTTATCTTAATATACTATATTAAAAGCAGCCAGTCACAAAGAGTACAACCAAAGAGAATTTTCTTCAATATTTTACAAACAAAATACGACGAAACTTTTCCCCCGACCTTTTATAAACCTTATAAAGCGAATCAATAAAATTACAGTGAAAAGTCAAACACACTCATTATCGTTTCAAGGACTTAGAATTTATGGCCACTTAATGTCGCGCGAGGTTTTCTAAGAGGCTTTCACAAATAGAACGTAGGTACTTAATCTGCTTATACTAAGAAGTCTTTTATATTACAAATTGTTGATTCCATTTACATTTTATTGTCAGTAGGGGTAATAACTGGGAATATTGCTTTATTATTATTCAATAAGTACGAATATGGTTCGATTACTACTAATTAAATGAAATAATTAAGTAATTCCTTAGAGGTTACAACGTATCTGTAGCCTTCCTTGCTTCCATTCCAGTAGCCTCTGGCTATCCGATAATCATGCTTTCGGAATATCATTCATTCATTCATTACATTACATATACATTTTCAATTTTTCCAAAGTCCACTGCTGAAAAGACCTTCCCCACAGACTGGCCCTGCCCTTGGCGGGCAGATTGCCAACCCAATAGAAAGAAAGCGAAAAAATCTTTTCTGAAACGATTTTTTACTACAAAACTGTAATAAAATTAATTAAAAAGTTACAATAAGGTACTGAACCCGTAATATCACTAATACTAACTAGTTCGAAATTGTAATCTAACACCTAATTACAAATCCTCATGAGCCATAATTCAGTGACTAAATATGCTTTTAGAATTTTTTAACGTCGCAGTAGTTTATGGAATTGTATAATACGTTTATTACAGAATGATGGTCACGAACGTGAACACAGTTCACTTGATGGTAAGTGGATGCTGTGGCCAATAGACATCTAAATTTATCCTCAATTAAGAATCAAAATGTTACACCTAAGAACTAAAAAAACTCGTTTCCAGTAAAAACAGTCTCCCGTTTTCATCACTCACCATACAAAGCGCAGTAGCTTTAAGTTGCTATTTTACGCTGTCATTCTGTGAAGGCGTGGTCCTACCCTGGAGTCCGTCCCATTTGTGCTAAAAACATAATATAGCTGCAGGGTGGCTCTACCACGTATAGGAAATTAACACGATGAAATGTTTAAATTACATAATATGTCCAATAAGAACCTTCATTCCTCTGCTCGACTCTAGTGGGTGTTCCATGCTGATGCCAAGCAGCAAGTTGCCTCTTTTGCTGACAACTTATATATATATATATATATATATATATATATATATATATATATATATATATATATCAAGTGGGTATCAGCTAGTCTTATAAACAAACGAAAAAACAGTGTCATTCTTATATCAAATTCATAAATCAAAATAGCCCCTGGTATTGAGGTGATTGCACCATGCTTGTTTTATTAAAATTCATTTAAAAATTGTACAAGCAAAATTATTGTAATATGAAATATGTTTAAAAAAATACCACTTGGTTTCTTGCTGATTCTTCCCGGGACATAGTTATTTCCCAAACCGGTGGTGAATAAAAATGACTTTCAATAAGTATTATGTAATAATCTTTCTAATATATTTTTTTTTATAGGATAGGGTGACAATCGAGCACACAGTCCACCTGATGGTAAGTGGTTGCTGTGGCCCATAGACATCTACATCTATCCTCGATTACGAATCAAAATGCAGATGTGTTGTCACCCGTGAGGACTAAGATGGAATGCCTCGTTTCCAGTAAAATGGGTCGCCGGTTCTCTACACTCACCATACGAAATACAGCAGCATTAAGCTACTATTTCACGCTGGTATTCTGTGAGAGCGTGGTCCTTCCCCGGTCGAGCCGACCCATTCGTGCTACAACTATACATCTAATATAACTGCAGCATGGCTCTACCACGTTAATTTGTTTGTTCGTATTTTATACATCGCCATACCGCTCATCAAATTGCGGTAAAACGTTGTTAACTTATTGCTTGCACTTGCGTGAAGGTTTATAGGCATAGTACAATTAACTTATATATATATATATATATATATATATATATATATATATTACATATATCAATTTCAATAAATGTATCATAACTCCTAAATAAACAAATTAACTCTTCCAAATTTAAAACAATATTTCCACAACTATTTCTTCTGCGGCTGCAATCCGCCGGATAATAGCGCTAGTATTGAATAAAAAACGTTCATTTCATCAATCTGCTCCAGTATGTCAGTGTCTCATCTGTCCTCAAATTATTTTATTTCCCGTACTGCATCTATTAGTTATTGTTGTTCTTTTAAAAAATAAGGGTACAAACTAACACACATTCTAACTCATGTTAAATGGATTTTGTGGTTCATATACACCTACATCTATCCTCAATTGAAAACCGAAATATAGATGCGTTGTCCCATGAAGACAGATGGAATTCCTCATTACCAGTAAAACGCGTTTCTATTTTTCTACATAACCATAAGAAACGCAGCAAAATTAAGCCAATTTTTTTCGCTGATATCCTGTAAGAAAGTAGCCATTCCCCCGGTTGAGTTGAGAACCATTTGCGCTAG